AGCACCACGCAAGTCCCTGCGCATGCGTTTTAGCCTGGGGAAGAGCAGCAAGGAGGCTGTAAGTGTGGTTGTCAGATAGACTTCACATTCTACTTATCTGGTTCACAGATAGACGCTAACAGCTGGTTTTAATCAGTTGCATTCAGGCATATGCTGCAATTAACTGTGTTCAAATCAAGAGACGTTTGCACATGGGGTGTTGTTGGGGTTAATTGTTGCACATTAGCACTTTCTTATTGTGTAACACTCTAAGTTTACTTTCAGTCGCTAACATTTAACATTTCTTAAAATAAAGCATGCACAGTTTGTTTTAAAAAGATTGTTTTTTCACATTTGTAATATTACAAAATCAGATGTGTACATACTTGTTTGGTACAAAGCCACAGGGTTATGTCCTATGAGATTTACTATGTCAAGCGCTCAGGTGAAAGAATGTTGTTATATACCATATAGTATATAAATAAAATACATTGTAACCTGTTTTGGGTACATTGGGTGAGCTGTTTACGTTACATAACTTTCTAATACTCTATAGTTTTATGTATATTCATGACTTAATAAAGAGTTGATGATCAACACCTCCACTATCTTGTTTCTTCTGAGTGACTTTTATCATCCTCTGAAGAACTAACCCCAGCGGTCATTTTATTAACATGCTAATGTTGCATTCTGGGTAACACCTGTGGGGTCCTTCTTAACAAAAATAACACTTAAGCTCTGTCATCTTTCATTTCTCATTCCATGCTGGTGATAAAGGCATCTGAGGCCGTTGGCTGGCGACTTGCCACTCAGGAGAGCACCACCAGTTTTTGTTTCACCAAAGAGACAGAGTTCAGTCCAGCGGTTCTGCCGAGAAAAGCAGAATCCAAAAGTGAGTATCGTGAAGAAATCAAACTAAATGCTAGTAAAAAACATTTCTATTCCAGTAGTCTTTTGAGTTTTAATACTTGCTAATACCCTCCTTTGTTTTTCAGGCTCCAAATACATCAGTAAGTCTGAAGACAACTTGCTGACCCCCCAATGTGACTCAAGTGCCCACCGGACCTCATGGAGCGAGGAGACTCCTCTGGGAGCCCAGGCTTTCAGCGGAGGGTCTTTCACTGAAACCCCTATGAACATGTGCCTAAAGAACACCTACTTATCTGAGCCAGCTATCGTATCAAAGCCCCCAGCGATGGCCGGCTTTCCCAAGAAGCTGTGTTGTGCCTCCAGCGCTGAGAGCCTAGAGAGCGAGGGCTGCATTACTGAAGCCCGGAGCCAAACGGGCCCCACCCTGCTGAAAATAAAGAAGGCCTTCACGGAGTCCGGCAGTGATCTCCAGGCCGTCATACAGGAGCCCTGCAACTCTACGGGGACAGACGCAACAAAACTACCAGACATCCTCTTAGTCCCTCCACCAGAGACTCCGACAGTTGTTTCTGTGGAAGCAGAGGCCGACAGCTGTCCTGTCCAGCAGAGCCCTCTGGCTAATGAACAGAACATTACCTTTGGCCAGATTGAAATTGCCGCTTTATCGCCTTTACATATTGACAGTGTAATTTTTGAGTCCGGTGAATACTGTCCTTCAGCAGTACAAGCTGATAACGTTTCTGTCTGTGCTGCTCCCGTCAGTAGCCACAACAGCTCTGTGGCAGGAGACAGTGAAGAGGAGGTGGAGCAGGTGAACTGCAGCCAGCTGATAGAAGCTCTGGACATCCAGAGTCCTGCTCACTTCAAACTGGGTGTCCCTTCTGGAATGCAGTCCACTCCATACAAGCTGGGCCGTGATCTAAGACATGAGTTCAGCACACCTCCTAAGATTGGTGCTACAGTCAGCGCAGTACATGAAGAAAATGAATCTTCCCCAGATGGTGGTATCGCAGTCCAAAACCAACAACAGTGCAGTCTGGAGAATGAGAAGCGTCGGGTGTTGGACCACATTCATCACTTCAACAGGCTCACCCTTTGTTCTCCCAGACGCTCCAACGCCAAGCAAATCAGATCACCACTCAAGTTCCAGCGCACCCCCGTGCGCCAGACCGTCCGCAGGATCAACTCTCTGCTGGGAGACAGCAGGAGACCCGCTACCATCGGCCGCAGCAGTCAGGTGGTGAAGGCAGTGAGTCTGGAGAGTGGCCTCTCCCCTTGCCCACAGCTCCAGCCCTACCACGAAGACACACAAGTGGAACTGTCCAACAGTGTTTTGCCCAAAAAGAAACCACCTCCCGTCCCACCCAGGAAGCCAAGCACCTTGGCCCGGAAGTCCAAAGTGTGTGCTCTGGGCGATGTGACCAACAAGGTCCAAGCAAAGACCAAAGTGGACTGTTTTGACTCTGATCTATCAGGAGCTCCGAAGCCTCTCGTGCAGCAGGTAGTAGAGAAGGACATGAACTATTACAGAGGCTCACCTAAAAACCCCCTCAACCAGGTACGACTGCTGTCTGCCACCAAGCCTGTCGATTTATAGCTTAAAATCTTTTACGTTTCCTCCTCACTATGCAGCCTCTGTCTGCTAGGATGATATGACATTAAACATTCCTTCTTATGTTATCCATATTTTCAGGGGTTTTAATTTATTTTTAGCTACAGTAGGTGCTGGATGTGTTGTGTTAGGGCCTTAATGGGAGATGTTCATATGCCTTAAGTTTAGGATCCGCCTACAGGACTGTTGCATAGTGTGTAGACTGTAGCGTGCAGGCCAAATTATGTGAAATGTGATCGATGGTATGACTGGAAATGTTTAGATCAAGTCTTGCGCTTTTTATTTATGCATTTTATATCTAATCTTAGCTAGATGTTAAACTGTTTACTGAAGCTGCAGATGTTTCTTCATTACAGAATATTTTTCTAACTGTTTCTTGTTAGGAACAAAAAGATGGGAGAAATGCACCTTTGTTGGATTTTATGACAAAAAAAAAAAGCCAAACAGTATTGATCACATAATCTTGTCTATCGCAGTCCGTTCATTTTAAAAACCATCCTGCCTTGTGAACTGCTTCAGACAAATAAAATCAAACAACATACACCTACTTGTTTCTCTTCAGTTGAATCCTCTGGTTTGTGTAAATTATTGGCAACTGTTGGAGCCACAAGGGGGAGTCGTACACCCACTAGACTGACACGCTCAGTAAACTTCATACTGGAGTAAGGCTCAGGAATTTACTCTGTCAAAACCCCAGAGTGACCTGTTGCAACTACATCTTGATATAATGTAATTCTGCTTGTTTGCAGCATTCTCTGAACAGAGTTGGCTTCGGTACATTTGAAAAGATATCATTTGCGTCTCTGGAGATTCCTTCGGGAAATAAAAAATGTACTTTTGGCTCAGGGTAAAATCAGGTATCTGAAACGCCCAGCTACTACTGAGAGGGCTGAACGGATCCGGCTCAGTGACTTATGTTGACATGAACGAGGTGAATGGCCGAGGCGTTTTTTTTCCTGTAAAGAATCTGAAGAGTAGACAGTGGAAAGGTGAAGGTCAAAATCATTCCTTGAGATTTATTCTCCACAGCCTACTGGGAGGATCGCGTGCTTTTCATGTGCAGTAGGATAGATTGGACCTGGACAAAATCTGTGTTACTGCAGGAGCTGCTTCTTCTTATCATTATTGTGATTATTTTTCACTGCAGTGACAGAAGCACACTCTGTTTTATTGGTTTGAATCTCCACGTTCAGGTGTTGCACTATGATACATATTACACACTAGGTGGTTGGGCTGAGGCCATGTGTTCAACAGGTTCACTTCCCCTTTCTGAAATGTAAAAAAGAAAAAAACTTGTACAGAAAATCCACTAACAGAGAATTTGCTAATGAGCCTGGTGAAACTATCCTAATCTTGCAAGCTGTACTTCCTAATAAACAGTGTCTTAGCTTGTTACTGTTGCTAAAATTGGTCAAAATTGTTGCCATATCAAGATGCAAACAAGTTTCAACCATAAAATGTAATCAGGTTTTAGATCTTGTCCACCTTTGTGTCAGGATCGGCTGCAGACTGACTTGGCAGAGATGGCTGCCATCTTGTTTTTACATGGATTAGTGTATTGAGCTCTTACTACCGCTGGATGGCACAAAAAAGTGTCCACAAATGAGGACAACAGGTCTAAGTTAAGTTGAATGAAGAAGACTCAAGTACAAGGTCAAGTAAACCCAAAATGTGATATCCTCATTTGAGAACATGGAGTCTTAGAGGGATGTTATAACACAAAGCCAACAGCAATATGAGTGCTGGAGTTTAACTTTCCAGAGTATTAAAAGGCCTGAGAATGAGACTTTATATATTTGAATAACTACATTCACACAGCATTTAAAAGCATTTAAGACATCACTTTTGAGTTGCCAGGTTGTGAAAAATCCCTTTAGCTGGTGTTCATCCTGATTCACCAGGACACTTAATTTAGTTAATCAAGTAGATACTCTGATAGGGGGTTAAACTTTTGGAAAAACCTGCAGCCTATCCTGACCAAAATCAACTAATCAATAACTCATTAACAGTTATAACTCCAAACGTATGGTTTATTAGTGCAAGCATTTTTTAAATAAATTTCCAACATGTATAACTTCCTGTAATTACTTTTACCATAGTGCTGATAAAAGACGTTCACCTTAATTTACTGATAACTCATTTGTATTGTAGCCTAATTTGGGCATACGTAAATAAACATGCACTGGGGACATGTACAGTAATGAACTAAAGGGCTATGGCTATATAATGGAGCAAGGAAAACAGTATATACACCATACCATACTGCGTTCCTGATCTTCCCAATCTTGTTTCTAAGAATCCTTGGATTGCATGTTCATAATTTACGTGAAGACTCTGAACGCCTCATTTCAGTTTTAAATCTGATATATTGCACAGTATTATCATCATGCTCCTTTTGATTAAAAAAAGGAAAAAGATGAGTTTTACTTTTTCCATGTGCGCTTAAACTTCAGGCCTGTCCGCTCTCGGCTTGTCTCGCCCCCCTCCTCTTCTTCTTCTTCTTCCTCCTCCTCCTCCTCCTCCCTGCCTGCCCTCGCTGTTCCTCGGTTGTCTGTTTTCTTGAAGTGGGTTCAGGGAAGTGTTGAGGGGGCGGATAGTTTTGATTTTCTCTACATCGTGCTTAGCCAATAATGTAGAGGGAACTGTTGTGCACATCTCAGCTGGCAGACATTTAAAAGGGAGACAGTCCGGCGCTGGAGCAATTTGTATTAAACCCCCTGGCCCCTGTCTATGGGGCGGTTAGTCTCCCACCCATCCACAGCCCCGCCAGTGTACAGTCGACAGCAGTAGGTGCCTATCACGTCGGAAGGTGCCGTAGAGGAGTGACGGGATCAGATCATCGCACTTGTGGCAGTGGAGGCTCGAACAGGTGAGTAAATTTGGACTGTTTGGGGATATAATACCCATGCGTATCGTCTGCCGACACTTAGATTCTGAACTTTATTTGGTTTATGGGTTATAGAAATTACAAAACTGCATACTTGTTATCCACTGGTGCGCATGTGTGGATACGCAGATGGTTTATTAAACTTAGAGGAAAGTTTATATGCGTTCACTTTGGCTGAATCTGATTGCATTCAAGTGCGTAACAGATAATTTACAGCCTTACAAAGTATGGGAACATAAGAGACATTATATTTTTCAGTCAGATATTTAAACTGGCATAATTCAAATATACAATTATGTTGGTTTTGTACAATAGTCTGGATTTGCATGCGTTTTTGTTCTTCAAACCAAGCCCTATCTGTGCGTTTTTACGCAGCGTAAAAGCCTTGACAGCTGTGCGTAACCCGTCCAGAGTTGAAACGGTATATGTGATGAATTATTTTCTCCTTCTCCCCAAGGATGGCCAACTCAACGCGTATCTTCTGCAGTATGGTTTTCATCATGGGGCTGCTCTCCTCTCCCGTGGATTCCAAAAGAAACCGAGGTTCACAAGGCGCCATTCCTCATCCTGACAAAAACAACCCAAACGAATCGGAGCAGCAACCGCAGCCTCCGCAGGCGGGCTCCGGGTCCCGCCAGAGGCAGGGCTCATCCTCACCGGCCGACGAGGTGCTGGAGTCCAGCCAGGAAGCTTTACATGTGACGGAGCGCCAGTATTTGAAACGGGACTGGTGCAAGACGCAGCCTCTCAAGCAGACCATCCACGAAGAGGGCTGCGTCAGCCGCACCATCATCAACCGCTTCTGTTACGGACAGTGCAACTCCTTCTACATCCCGCGGCACATCCGCAGGGAGGAGGGTGCCTTCCAGTCCTGTTCGTTTTGCAAGCCAAAGCGTTTTACCACCATGACTTTTACTTTAAACTGTCCGGACCAGCAGCCACCCACCAAGAAGAAACGCATCCAGCGCGTCAAACAGTGCCGCTGTATATCCATAGACCTGGACTAAAGAAAAGTTGTGCGTCTTTTTAACATTCTCACTCTTTGCGGACAGGATTTTAAATAAAGACAGGCGGTCACAGCCAATAACACGTGCCTGTCTCCACCTAGGAAGAAGCAGCCACGAAGGCTACAATGATCCTCTTCTTGCACAACGTGTGAACAAATATGGACATGCGACTTATGAACTGCAACCAACATTTTACTCCTCACCAGTTTGCCAAGTTTGAAGCAAAGCATCACCGCACAGGAACTTGGAATGGGCACGTTTTACGCACGGCTTCCTCACCCCGAGAGGACTGCATAACCCCGGTTTATTTAATAAATCAAAACGTTTTGTGTGACAGGAAAACATTCCCGTCCATTTTTTTTAAATTTTTTTTGTGTGCATATTTTTAGTTTGTTTAACTGGATGTTTCCACTGTGTGGAATTTGACGGATGAGCTGCGATATTTGTAAATGGAAAAAAAATGTGATTTTATTTCTATATTTCAAGAATCTTTTTGTGAATTTCGAAGTTTATCAGCTATTTTCTTTTCAAAGTTTGGTGCCAACTCAGTTGTAAAGACTTTGTAGAGGCTTCTGTGTTAGTTTGAGCGGACAGTGTACAGCGATGGTTTCTACAGTATCGAGGTTAAATAGTTGTCAAATGTAAAGCCATCTTTGATGTAACCGGTTTTGTTTATCCCTTTGATTAAATTATCCATGGAAACATAAAATAAACGGATGTTGGAATATTGTGTACATCATCTGCTGCTTTACATCTGATGTAAATTAGGAAGGTGTGTTCAATGAATGTTAAATTCTGCTCTGATCATGTGCTGCGCTCCTCCTGCGTGCAGCCGCAGCTTGTGGAGACATTGCGCTCAGAGCCTGGAATAAATGTCATCGTAAAAGCAGTCAGTTTAATGATTAAAGATGGAGTTAGCTGCTCCAATTATCCCTTCAAATTAGGTTATTTAACTTCAGTGTGTTTGTTACATGGCTCGCAAATCTATTGGAGGATTGAACAGGGAGGATGTGGCGTTCAAGTGCAATTGATGTGGGATTTCTCCAATTTTCCATTTCATAAATATGTCTCACACAGTGGAGATTTTTTTTCATATTAAGAAAAGGCATCATTCTTCAGCCATCCATATTTATTATCACCCTAATACAGTGGTGGAAGAATAAAGTAATGTAGCTCTGCCACAGATGAAATATTCTGCATTCAAATTTTTACTCAAGCAAAAAAGTACTGGCATCAAAATATATTTCAAGTAAGTAATGGGCCTTGTCAGGATAAATAAACATTATTAAATTAATTATTAATGCATTAATGTGTTCACCAGCTTATTTTTAAACTATTTTATGTAAGTTATTTCCCTAACAGATCAATTAAGTTTTATTTAAATATGAAATATCACATTATAATAAATTTGTTGATTATTAAGTAACTAAACTTTTAAAATACATATAGTGGAGTAAAAGCACAATATTTGCCTTTGAGATGAAGTGGAGAAGAAGTATAAAGTTGCAGGAAATGGAAATACTCTACCTCAAAACTGTATTTAAGTACAGTACTTGAGTAAATATACTTTATTTTCCACTACTGCCCTTATAATAAATATCTGGTCTAAGCCACAAACTGTAGGATTAATTTGGTGTTTGAATAAAAAATGTGATAAAATGGGAATCCCCATAGGTGTAAAACTAAAGTCAAAGTTGAGAGAAATCAAAAATGAATCTAGTAGTTTTTTAATTGACTGTAAATATGTGAAACCAGGTCCTAAATCTCCATACTAAGGCACAGAATGACTGCTGGTATTTTAGTGATACAACAAACAGTCTAAAACACTCAAATGTCCATCTCATAAAATGTGCCAAAATCTCCTAACAAAGTTCAACTAACATGACACATTCCCAACTGGAAGATTCCTAAAATAGGAGTCTTTAAGGAACAAGTTTAAACGTCTAAAAATGAGGCTGCTGCAGCTGAATTCTGAGTCATCAGATCCTCTTTGATGACTCAAGTTTCTTACATAAATATCACATCTGCTCGGCGCTTCTAAAAAGCCTGCCTAATGGAGGTGTTGACAGAAGAAAATTTAGAGACGCTGGTCCAGTTTGTTTCGGCATCCAGTAGTTTATTCTTGAAATTTAAAACAATTCCATAAAATTACAGAGCACCTATACGAGAGCTACTGAAGGTTACATGAACCGACATACATACAGTTGAGGCTACAGCAGTTCCTTGGTCAGTATCAGCTTTTTTTTTTTTTTTTTGCTTTTCAAACCCTCTGAAGTAAAACATAGCAGTTTATTAAATATCTTTTTTTTTTTTTTTACAAAATAAATGGCACATGTGAAAGACTTTGGAGGGTAACCAAAAAAGTAATCCAAGGTGCAGTTTTACGGATCGTCTGATAATGGAAGTCTGTCTGAGGTATAACAACTCACATGGCTTCAGGTGATATGCTTAAATGTTCTCCATACTCAAAACACAACCCTCATTTCTCCAAAACTGAACAGAAAAGGCTTCATTCAAATTCTTTAAATTCCACAAATCATCGCATACATAAATCAGTGGGCACGGCATTACAAGTATCATCCATGTGAAAATATATCTTTCATCTGACTGACCTCTGAGGAAGCTTCTCAGTCTATTACAACTCATACAAATACATCCTGTAAAGGGAACAAAGCTGATGCTTTTTTGGCAGAAAATAAATCTTTCCTTACATAAATAGACTTTTCTTGAGTGACACAGGAGCGTGGTTACATCTTATATTAGAGAAAATAAAACATACACTTTAATAGGCTTTCTTACAAATAAAAAATCTAATCATGAAGCAATACAATTCATAAATCACCTAACAAGGAGGAACGTCCCCTTGCATAGGAAAAGAGGTGCAAAAAAAGTGCAAGACATTTTTAAAAAAATGCACGCAGTTAGCAGAACAGGGGACTGTGGCTTTATAGCGAGCTACGACATACAGCTACCGCAAGCAGTAAAGTGCTTAAAGGCGTGCTGGACGTAATATGACGCACAGCACTCAATGAGGGAGTTAGAATTTTGCATAATGTGTGTTTTAATATCTCAGGTGAATGGGTGCACGGCCAAAACTCTGATGTTTTTAAGTACATGTTTATGTGCGTGTGAGGGGGGAGCCGGGGCTCGCTGCCAGGTTCTGCTCCTCTCTGGCCGTCACCCAGGAGAGGTCAGTCTGGTGCAGTGCTACACAATACAGTGAAACCTCCACGAGTTTTATACGCAACACGTCTTCATCTGAAGCCCAGCGTGGATCATTTATCATGCTCCACAATGCTGCACGGTCCCTGCCGATGCTACGACAAAGACATATTTACAAGACTTCTAATGAGCCGTGGTGAATGAAATGCTATTCGCTACAGCAAAGAACGCTCACAACTGCCTTTTTTACCACTTCCAGGGACAGAGATCCGTTTTGTCAATGGGGATTTCCCTCTTCAGGCAGCCGTATCTGTCCATATAACAGAAACTACCATGCCATAAAACTTTGAATATGTAGCTTCATCATTCTGCTACAGTGGAGAAAGAAACTCAGCTCTCGTAGAACTAGAAGGAACCTCTTGGATGTGTCAGCTGTTTTCAGTTCCACTGACCCCTTGAGACCTTTCACAAGCTGGGCACTCAGAGGTCGCGCCCTACTGGATGAATGAGATCAACCTTTGGCCTTTGAGGCTCTCATCACTTGGGCTGAGTCAGCCATGCATCCTCGCTGCAGGCCCGGCTTCAATCTGTACAGCAGACAGAAAATGCTCAACATGAGGGTGGTGGAGGGGAGGGTGTTAGTAGGGGCAGAGATACGGCAGTGGGAGTAGTAAGAGTCCAGCAAGGTTTTATTGTGTCCGTACAGGGCGCAGAGGCCAGTCTGCTGTTGTTGAGGCAGGTGGTTAAACGCAGGAGAGATGAGGCCTGCGCGCTTCCTGATCTCCTCCACCCACTCCTCGTTTCCTCCTCTGCTGTGTCACTCGTCGTTTCACTCAGCTGGAAGACACGCCGGCTTCCTTCTGCCGCAGCCTCTCTTTCTGTTGGCGAGAAGCGCAAGAAGATTCAGTGTATCGATTTCAGCGCAGAGACAGGAAAGAGCAGCTGTATGCAGATCAGCTCTTACCAGACTGTTGGCATTGATCTTCTTGGTTTCCACTCTTTTCTCCGCCGTGATCTTCTTGATGTTTTCTTGGGCTTCCTTCAACCTATGCAGGGGGAAAAACATACACGAGGACTTGACATCTGCAGACCCTTTAAAACAAGACGCACACACTGAAAGCTTTGGAGCTAAATCATGAAACTCGTGAAAACAATATAAAGTCAGAAGCCTCTCATCGCTGTGTTCCAGTGAAGCTGTTTGTAAGGGCAAGACATTTAAGTATCTCCCTGGGGCATCCTGTGTCATGGAGCCATGTAGAGTCTTACACACACACACACACACACAGATCCTCTCAGGAGTTCGCGGTCAGTGAAAGCCCTGTAAGTGAGAAGCAGTAGAGAATGACAGTGGGTTGATGAGATAATGAGGCAGCCTTTAAAAACACTTGGCTTTTATGAGTGCGCAAACAGTATTTAAAATAAAGTTAATTGTACATAAGCACAATCACCTGTGAGTAGCGTGGGACACGATTACATTTACGATCTCACAGATAGCGATGGTCGGAGGACACTAAAGTTTCATGATATGACAACTTCTGAGTGTGAAGAGCCATGAACCCACAATGACCACGCAGTCTGGTGGGACATCTTCAGTCCCGTTATCATCTCTGCACGTGCAGCGCTCCTGCCCTTTAGGCTGCATGTCCAGCATCACTACAGTGTTTATCAGTTCTCCCATAACGCCTGCTAGTAAAGCCAGGCGGCCGCCAGGAGGGTCTGCCATCCCTCGGTGGAATGCCTCCCCCCGACGTGACGCCTCAGGTCAGAGGAAACATCATAAATTCAGGCCCCAGTCCTTCAGACAGAGGGCCGAGGCCTCAGCTACTCCTGTTTGCCTCCTCTTTTGGGGCCTCCCCCTCTGCTTTAATTCAGCATATCTGCACATCACAATTAGTGTTAATTTGACATGATGTCTAAAGGTCATTAAGCACCTATCGGAAGGTGGCGGAGAAGAAGTATCACCCAAGAATGAAATGGCTAAGTGTCGGTTTGGTGTTCTGCAGAGTCGGATATCCACTGACTGAGAAACAAGATATTTTACAGAAATCTTTCCACTGGAGACTAAACATCTCACTTTAAAGAGAATATCAGTCATGTTTTTATGACCATTATAAGATTGTTTGCAATCATGTGACTATTATGACATGCAAAATTCAGATGGAGGGCAGGAAGTGATAAATCCATGTACTGTGTGAACTGGATAGAGAGAAAAGTGAATACATAAAAGAGTTGAATGAACCTGTTGGCAGCAGGTATCTTCAGAAAACTGAAACACATGTTTGATGAGATCCATACAAAATGAATAAAAGTGATCTTTCCCACAACTTGACCAATTTGCCTCGTGTAGACACAATCGTTGTTAGAAATGACTTTGTCCTACAGACCCTTTTAATGTTACTAAAGTCGCACTGTGAGCCGATGAAAGTGTACAAGAGTCTAGAGGACTAAATTTTGTGTACAGTTGGGTCCATGACTGAAACAACTGCCATCTTGTTTTTGGTGAATAAATGTGCTTGAGAATAATTGTCTTTTACATTTCAACTCTGTGCATGGATGCACCGCTGTCTG